TGGTACTGGATATATTTCAATCGCTTCAACTTTTGCACTAACTGGACGTACTTTACCTTGACCCACTTGATGACCAAGATAAGTAACAGTCGCTCGAGCAAAGTCACATTTGGCCAAATTCACTGTCAAACGCGCATCCCGCAAACGGTCAAACAAAGCGGTGAGTCGTTCCATGTGAGAAGACCAACTATCAGAATAGACAACAACGTCATCCAAATAGACAGAACAGCCTTCTAAACACCCAACAACTTTATTCATCAAGCGTTGAAAAGTTGCTGGCGCATTTCTCAAGCCAAAAGGCATAACATTGTATGAATATAAGCCACTTGGTGTAATAAAAGCAGAAATTTCTTGTGCCCTTTTAGTTAAAGGGACCTGCCAATAACCTTTTAACAGGTCTATCTTACTAATGAATTTAGCATTACCAATCTGGTCAATGCAATCATCCATACGAGGTAGAGGATATGAATCAGGTTTGGTTATGCTATTGACTTTTCTGAAATCGGAACAAAATCTATAGGTTTTGTCTGATTTTGGAACCAGCAAGCAAGGTGAAGACCAGCTTGAACATGATGCTTGAGCGATGCCATTTTTTAACATGTAGTCAACCTCAGCATCCAGATGTTTACGTTTCTCTGGGTTAACCCTGTAGAACTGCTGTTTTATGGGTTGTACATCACCCACCGCAATATCATGTTCGATCAGGTGCGTGCAGGATGGGACATCTGAGAATAAATCAGAGTGGGATTTGATCAACTGAATCAACTCAAAGCGTTGAGATTCTGACAAATAACTTAGTACAGTATCTATGCTGTCCAATACTTCAGAATTCTTGAGTCGACCAGTTAACATCGCTGAATCTGGAACAGGTAACCCATCACCACTCCCTTCATCACCAGCAGATGTCACTGCTTCAGCAATGCACACAGGGTGAACTTCATCCACCAAGACATTATCAGCACGAACATGATAAGGTTTCAATAAGTTGACATGAAGTATTCGCCGTTTCTTCCGCCTTTCTGGAGTTGCAATGAGATAGTTTTGGTCAGACAGCCGTTTCAAAACTGTGTGCGGACCAGAAAATTTGGCCTGAAATGGCGAAGTCACAACAGGAAGTAAAGCCATTACTTGATCACCTGAAAGAAAAACACGATGTTCAGCTTTCTTATCATACAAACGCTTCATTTTTTCCTGTGCAGATGATAACTTCTGTTTTGCCAACTGAGTAGCAGTAAAGAGTCTCTGCTTAAACCCATTAACATAATTCAACAGGTTTTGTGGTGGTTCAGCATCCTGGCACTCATCTCTCAAAACTTTTAACGGACCACGCACAGTATGACCAAACACCAATTCGTTAGGGCTAAAGCCCGTACTCTCTTGTGTTACTTCTCTTGCTGCAAGCAACAACCAAGGTAGACCATCCTCCCAATCAGCAGTCATCTGAACACAATAAGCACGGAGCAAAGATTTTAATGTTTGATGAAATCGTTCCAGCGCTCCTTGGCTCTGCGCATGGTATGCTGTAGACTGGTTATGCTTAATGTGCAGCTGCTTCAAAACCTGTGCAAACATATGAGAGGAGAAATTAGATCCTTGGTCACTTTGAATGACTTTAGGTATCCCAAAAATACCAATAAACTGCATAAGAGCCCGCACCACAGACTTTGCAGTAAGTGTGTGCAATGGATATGCTGCTGGATACCTGGTACTTTGGCACATAACAGTCAATAGGTACTTTGCACCTGAACGTGAAGGGGGAAGAGGACCCACACAATCAATTATTAAGTGC